TGACAGCCACACACCTCGGCGACACCCCCCGCGCCTTCCCTTCCCCGGGCTGAGCTGCTGCCGTTCCTCGCGGGAGAGGCGCTCCAGCACCTTTCCGTGTTCTGCCGCCCTTTGCTGGGCTCTCTCCAATTTCTCCACGTCTCTCATGGACTGGGATGCTCAGAGCTGGACACAGCACGGCTGGGGTGGCCTCACCAGCGCTGGGCAGTGCCACGTCTTTGTCCAGACCCGCTTCCCCTGCTCGGTGCCGAGCGGAGCAAGGACAGACGCTTCCCCTGTGCTCACAGTCTGGTCTGTCGGTGCTGCCGTGAGGATCGGCAGGAACACCTGGTCTGGTCTCCAGTGCTGTGACTGCCCAGCCCCGACAGCGTTGCTTGGAGCGTTGCTCAGTGTTCTGTAGCCCCACTAAATGCTCCTGGCAGGTAATGTTCTCCTTTGAGGCCCGTGTGGACACACAGTGGTCCCAGACCTGCTCACGCATGGTTAGGAGTGTGTGGTGGGAGCGAGCTGAGCTGGTGTGTCACCTCCCAGCCGAGGAGTATCTCAGCAGGCTTCCCTGTGTGTGCAAGTGTGTGTTCTGCTCCGTGCCCGGCCCATCGAGCCCTGGGGAGGCAGCACCAGCTCCCTCTGCTCAAACAACACAGACCAGGCAGCAAGAGGGGGAAGAGCTTTAGTGAAGTAATCGCTCTGTTGTTTCACTGTTTCGGGCTGTGGCACAACCTACTTCCTTTTTATCAACTCAAATAAAAGTATAAACTCAGCCTTTCATTAGTACTATTTATTGCGAATGTTGAAATGTCATGTAGTTTTGAAGAGATGAACTGATTTAGATAGGTAAGTCATAATTAACTGGAAGACCCTTCCGTGACAATTATATATGTATCAAAGCCATTCAAGTGAGAAAATGCAACCTTGAGAATGCAGTAGACAGTTTTGTCATTGCCAAACCATACAAGAATATGTGCATTTAGATATTTTACACAAAGGAAACCTTGTTTACAGAAAAGAGAACTTGTTGATTATCTGATACAATCAAGTGCCTGTGAAATATAGTCTCTTATGGAAAGTATTCAATTTCTTCATGATTTAGAGACCCTTCAGCTTGGCGTGCTCTCTTTCATATTCATAACTTGAAGCAGATAGTCCATCATCTAATAAAAAGAGAAAAATATTATTTATAGACCAGTCCTGAAAAAAAGTAATTCTCTAAGTTAATAAGCCTAATATATATCTGCTCTGTGTATTCACATAACAAACACACTCCTAATAATCTTTCCAAAACAGACCTCATTTGTCTTGGTTAGCATAATAACCAACTGCCAAAGCACGAGGCAAGTCATTCTCCCAAATAATTCTGTCTGCCATCTCATTTATATAGTGTCTCATTAGTGCTAAAAAGCCAAGTCATAGAAACAATTTAAAGCTTATTTTTCAACTCGCTTTTACACTTAGGCCAACTTGTAGGAGACATTTCCCTTCCAGTCTCTAATTGCTTTGACTGTAAGTTATTCACAGAATAAAAAGCAGGCAAGATCCTCGTGTGCCTGGTATTAACTGAAACCAGAAGGAAATAACTCATCCCACATGCAGACTAACAGAACCATAGCTCCTCAATGGGATGTGGCCTGGGGACAGCTCTTCTAGGGTTCACAATTCACTTTTTTTGGATGGCATTTCACTGCCTCAAGTTTCCCAGGGAATAGTAGCCTGCTGTAATGATGATTTCTCCCAGAATCAGTTTCTATTCCAAACTCCAACACCATGTGGCTGGAAGAATATTTAATGCCAAGCACAAACCCCTCATAAGGGCTGCCCCATTGAGGCCAGGCAGTGCACCTGGCCAAGGCCCACCAAGGCCAGCAGCTGTGCCCACCACTCCTGAACAGGGACACCATTCCCACTGTTCCTGAACAGCAACACCTTTGCTCCCCCTGGAACCGCAGCACCCCAAACCAAGGTGTTGTCTCACCAAAGTCTGTGCAACATGGAACCCCGCACACCCAGAAAAATCCACAGAATCCAAATCCAAAGGTAATTTACACTTCCAGATCACTGTGTACATGTATGACTGAATTTCACATGTATACTTTATTCATTGAAAAGGCCTCCTTTACTAAAAATAACTATTTGCATTATTTCAATGTTTAGGAAATTATCGCAGCCTTCAAAAAAGCAAAGCACATTCCTGCCAGTCTTTCAGGTCTTCCTCTCCTGGAAGGCAGATCTCAAATAGACACACAGCTTAACCTTCAGGTGCTGCATTTCTGCTTTCTGAAGCCCAGGAAATACAATACATTGTGACCAGGTACTTGTGCTAAACAGCAGGAAAGCACAGCTTAGGTACTGCTTTCCTGATTAGGTTTTACTTTGAGGTGGAGACAAAGTAACCACTGAATGCTGGAAACGAAAGGTTCTGTGGCAAAACGAGGTTCTGTAGGTTTGTCCTATACATTAGTCACATGAAATACATGTGTTTTTTTTACTGCACATTGGAGAAATCTGGGTATTTAAAGCAATAATCTCATTATTCCACTTACATGCTCCATGTCAGATCACAAGACCATGGATGCTAACAGGGTAAAAGCACACACACAGCCATGATCCAACTCATCGGGGCAACTTTCAGCCTTCCTAAGTACGATTTATTACCAGATACTTTTAGAAGTCAAAATATTTCCCTCTTTACATAAGATAATGGAATTTGTTCACCTAATTTGATCACAAAGATGCACACTGCACAGCTGAAGATAATTTCCTTTCTATATAGTATTAATCACAGTTATGATAAGCATCACTGTTGTGAAGCCATAGCCAGAAAGCAACCTATGGACAGTGCTCCTATCAGTGGTCCAAGGGACTTAAATCATGGCTTAACTTAATGGATAATTTTTAAACCCATATTCAAGTAAAAGTATTTGCTGACTTCACTGCACCAGCATTTCAGGAGGGAGACTAGGCTGAAGTTAGCCCAGGAATATTAATTACATCATATTGCAGTAGGGTAGGGGAAGAAAACCAATAATCTTCCCATAAATGTATTTAAGGGAGTGTATTGATTTATTTTTTTTTCTATTTTATTGTTACCCAAAGAATCCTGCAGCTATATCACCATTACTGGACCCACATTCTGTAATTTACATGAGGTCATTTAGACCCTGATTACCCTCTCTAAAACCTCACTGATACCCTTCCAAGTGATTTTCCAAAAGAACAGGGGTGAATCTGCTCCAGAGCCCTGTTACCTTGTGAAATAGTGATGGTGAGTACCTTGACTCAGGGAAAGAAGACGTGGGTCCTGGGCATTACATTACAACTCAGCAGTAGCCACAGACTCATTTTGCAAGACCACAAATGGCCACAGCAGTGGCCAGCACCACCAGGCGGGGGAAAAGACATGGGGCCAAGACAAAGCTGGGAACCGGGGAAACTCCCTCATGACAGCAGAGCAGCAGCTGAGGGAGACAATCCACATGATGTGGCTTCTGACACCAGAGGCTTTGCCTTTTTCCAGCCCTCCATGCCTATCCCTGTTTTCCACAAAAGCTCGGTTTTGCTGGGTTAACACGGTGCCTGGCTCTGTATTGTGGTCACCTGAGCATAAACTGCTAGAAGAGAATGGAAAGAACCAGCAAATGGAGTGGAATCCAGACAGTGACCTCTGCTGAGTGCTTGATGCCCAGTAGCAAATTAATTCATAAAAAATACAGTCTGTGACTGAGAATCTACAATCAAGAGTAAAGACTTACTTTACTGGATGGCTAGTACACAAGATGCACTTCTGCTACTTTTTTGGACAATCCACAAGTCAGAGGCAGCTGATACACCACTGCAAAATGAAGCTTAACTATATGGAGTGGTTTTACAGGTTTGCTCTTACTTACATCTTTCCAGCTGCTATTGTCATCTGCCTCCCAGGTGTTCCTGGAGTACCAGGGAAGCCCGCCCTTTAAAATGTGAGCACTTTTATTTTCATTCCCTTCAAGCAGCCGTAGCAAGTATTTTGAGATTTCTTCCCACTGCAGATAGTCTTCCAGCTGCTTGATATTGTCAGGTAGTGCTGCAAACGGTGCCTTGTTTTCTTCTTCATAAACATAAGGAAAATCTCCAGTGCTCTTTTTCCCCATTAAGTGTCCTGTAACAACAATGACGGCAGCGTGAAAATAACAAAACCAAGGTAGAGATCTGAGGGTTCACACATCAGGTGGAAGTTGTTAAGAGCACAGAGGGAAGGGGTTAGGTGATGTCAAAGCTGAAGCACAACTGGGACTGGAGATTTTGGCAGTGCTGCAGTTCATTTTCTCTGCCTCATGCTACGTTGTCAGAGAAAACGTGGCTGGGAACGGGGCAGAGGTGACCAAGCCTTTCGCCTGGAGCTACAGCGAGGCAGCCGGTAGGATTCCCTGGACTAAGCTCTAAGTTTTAGACCTTCCCTG